CTACTGCTACTACTACTACTGCTACTACTGCTACTACTGCTACTACTGCTACTACTGCTACTGCTACTACTGCTGCTACTACTGCTACTACTGCTACTACTGCTACTACTGCTACTGCTACTACTGTTACTGCTACTGCTACTGCTACTGCTACTACTACTACTGCTACTACTGCTACTGCTGCTACTACTACTGTTACTACTACCATTACTACTACTAGCTAGTTAAACTTATTGAACGTCCGCACGTCAACTCTACACTTTCAATGGCGGGCTTTGAGCATGCGCATGCAAGTCTCTTCTCCCTCCTGGGTTCAACCTCTATATAGAACAGCGAAGGAAGAGTCCAGGGACCAGACTAAAAATAAACATGACAAGGCTGGAGTCTGATCTCACAACCTAACGGTTTTTTTATAGCTTTCGTCTTGTATTACACTATTTTTAGAGCAAATACAGATTACTGATGTTTTCTGAAAGTAATCTTGTGTATGTGGCCTAGAGATTTCATATCCTGTCCACGGTTCTTAACCAATATACTTCCCTTCCATGGCGGTATTAAACGCCAAATCATGTATGATGGATACAGAAGGGGGAAGTCACTGTCATTCTGATCAAGCCCATGTCATATGAAAGTAGAATAGTTCTTGATTTCCTGGAACAAAGCCATTTCTGTGAAGACACGTGCACATAGGGGCTACACACGCAACTTCCTTATGCACTGCTGCTACTGCAAAATCTTATCATTTGACTTGGCGGGAAAAACGCCGTTGTCAACCTAGTCCCTCACGGCCAAAGTAGTACCTCGCCGTGGTGTATCTAAAATCCCTAATGTTCTCGCTCGTTGGTCGGGTTTGACTGTATTTCTAATATTCCGCTTTCTTTTGTTTTTCCACGCAAAAAAAAATCGAACACAATGACTGTGAACACAAAGCTGAGTTTGCGATCAAGTCATCGCAAAAATTTTTGCCAATGAGAGAGAAAGTCCTCTTTCGCAATACCAAAGTTCATCAGCACTCTAAATTCGTTTCACACTGAAACCGAAAATGTATGCATACACAGCATTAAAACAGATGCATGACAAAAAAAGTATTGTGCCCCAACATAGCTCTGATAAACCAATCCAATTGTTTTGGATATTTCTTTCCCACAAAAAAAAAAATTTGAAAACAATTACTGTAAACACAATGCTGATTTTGTCTGATCAAGTCATCGCAGATTTTTTTTGCCAATGAGAGAGAAAGTCAGCTTTCGCGACAGCAAAGTTTGTTAGCACTCTGAATTCTTTCACAGAAACCGAAAGATGTAGGCATACACACAGTATTAAAACAGAAGTATGGCAAAAAGAATATTGTGGACCAATATAGCTCTGATAGACCAATCTGAAGTCATCTTTCGCTTTGAATAAAAGGAACAGGTGCCTTCTAAACTTGCATGAGATTTTGCTGATATTGACATCAGCATTTTTTTGTAAGTTAAACTGTACTTCTAGGTAGGGATTAATCAGACAGCGTTTTTGAGAAACCGAGCCCTGGTGGACAGCTGATTTCCTATCGGATGTTATTTTGAAGGGAAAGGTGAAGAATTTAGTGAAATAGATCAGAATGGCATAGAACGGTCTCTTTTATGTCAAGTTATGATATGTGTGTCGCAATATAACATTGTTGAGATTTCTTTCATAGTTTTCAATATAAATCAGCATGCTTCAATATAAAACAGTGTGGCAAGTGAGGTATAAAATGAAAACTACTCTGTGTTCTAAATCAGTTAAAATTTCTGATTATCATCAGTGATATATACTAGGGTAAGTCGGATGGAAATCAGTAAGGTTGGCAAAACCATCTGTTCTCTTTAGTGTAAATGCGTTAGCTCCTCCGGCAGCATAATTTTGTTAACCATCCCCAAATAAAGGTGCTGCCGTACTACAAAATCTTATCATTTGAGTTTGGCAGAGATTGGCGGGAAAAACGCCGTTGTCAACCCGGTCCCTAGTCCCCCACGGCCAAAGTAGTACCTCGCCTTAGAGTATCTTAAAATCGATCCCTAATGTTTTCATTTGCATGCATGAGAGCGGCCATCTAGTAAAGGTGCTCGCTCGTAGAGGTTTGACTGTTTTTCTAATAATACACTTTCCCACAAAAAAAAATTAAAAACAATAACTCTAAACACAATGCTGGATTTTGATTAAGTCATGCAAACTTTTTGCCGATGACACAGAAGTCAGCTTTCGCAATACCAAAGTTTATCAACACTCTGAATTCGTCTCAAAAACCGAAAAAAATTTGTGTGAATAAACAGTGCTAAAACAGAGGTATGATAAAAAAAAAATTTGTGGACCAACATAGCTCTGATAAACCAATCTGAAGTCATCTTTCGCTTTGAATAAAGGGAGCATGTGCTTTCTAAACTTGCATGAGATTTTGCTGATATTGGCATCAGCATGTTTTCGTAAGTTAAACTGCATGAATCGTTGGTCCTGTTTGTGAAAGAGTAAATTCATTGCGAAATCTGCTATAAAACTCACTTCGCTCACCACTAGGTAGGGATTAATCAGGCGAAGGCGTTTTTTGAGAATCCGGGCCCTGGTTTTGCAATGTTGATTTCCTATCGAAAATTTTGTAGGGCACTGTGACAAATTTTGGTGAAAATAGATCAGAATGGCATTTGAACAGTCTCTTTTATGTCGAGTCATGATATGTGTGTCGCAATATAACATTGTTGAGATTTCTTTCATAGTTTGCAATATAAAATCAACTTGCTGGCAATTGAGGTATGAAATGGAAACTACTCTGTGTTTTAAATCAGTTAAAATTTCTGATTATCATCAGTGCCTGATGCTAGAGGAACTAGGAAGTCGAATTGAAATAAGGTTGATAAAACCATCTGTTCTCTTCAGTGTTAATGCATTGGCTCCTCGAGCTCCGGCAGCATAATTATGTAAACTATACCCAAAACGAATATTTAATCGAGATAATTTTCCGACAATCAAGGTTAAAGAGCGAAATTCTACAAGTGGAATGCTTCTTGAAAAATAAATCTAAAAAACTAAATCCTTTTGAGCCGGTATTTTTTCGTTATTGCCTTCAAGCTCGTTTTCGGGAAGTGCACTTTCACCCAAACCTTGTTTGCCCACGCAACAGAACCCTTTCAAAACAGTGACCGGCAAGGTTTATAATTGTACAGCACTTCCAGTTATAAAGGCAAAACCACATAAATGTTTGTTATAACCACACCAGCGTCTGGTGAGATATATGTAATAGTAGTAATTGTTGAGTCGACTGGCGCGTGAGTCAGCTAAAACGAAATTGGTCCTCAACAACGTAACACCTGTATGACTGTATGTAAATTCAATTGTCACATGCAGAGAGAATTACCTGAAAACAATTCATTCGTGTTAAACCTCTCAACAGGAAAGCAAGGGGAAAAGGCCAAACAAGCGGAATAGTTTTACAAATTAACAGAGCAGGGTCATAACCAGAAGCAAATTATGACTGAGGCAATGTTCTTTTTTGTTTCTCTGTTTTTATTTGCCAGCGGTGTTTTCATTTCCCCCTTCAAAAAGACATCATCAACAACGACAACAACAAAACCGAAAAAAAAAATGACTGAGGCAAGTGCTTCGCTTTGCCTGTTACTCAATGATCTACTAGTTACGGCCCTGCAGAGGCTTAAAAATCTGAACTGAATCCATCAAAGGAAACTGAACGAGAAGGCACGTATTGCGTGGGAAAGAAAAGCTTGACGTCGACTACTGCATATTTAATGTGTTTGTATTTGAATAAGATCCTTTTAGCAACCTACCTTCTGCGGCCAAACACTTTTATATCTGACTGCTTCTTTGTTGTCTTGGGGCCATAGCGGTCAAGAATCGCACCTAGAAATTGTTAAAATTAAATATTTGGCAAACTGTCGTGGTTTGATAGGTTCGTTTACTGATACAGCTATTAAGTTCATTGGCTGCAAATTCTCGAAGAGTTTCTTTCCGAAAAAAGGTTTCGTAACCGAAGTACTTAAATCTTGTAAGCGTTTGAGAAATTTAGGTGATCGTTGAATATTAGACCGCTTGATATCAGGTTCGACAGAAGGTCAAGAATGGTTGGCACCGAATAGCCAGCGAAAAAGGACCATTTTTGTTTCTCAAGAAATGTTTCCCAAATTAACGTACATATTGTCTTCCTGCAGTCCAGTTGTAAATCAGTTCGAACGCGTGGAACTTTCAACTGAAACAGTTTAAAAATGTGAATTTATTTTCCTAAATGATTTATTTGTTTCGATGGTTCTGACAGTTTTATTAAAATTTTTACTCTCATCACAATAACTGGACACGAAAATTAGGAGAAATACAAATTTTGAGGTCAAATTTGTAAGATATCCGCTGTTCTACTTAGGCAAGTTATTTACTTAACTAAAATAAATGGAATCTTCACTATGCGCTGAAACTCGTGACCTGTTAATTAAGGTTTATATGCTTCCTTTTTTTAAAACAAAGAGCGACCGAATTTCAAGCCAGACATAACAAGCTTATATGAGACTTTGAAGTTGACTGTCAGCTTTTCTTGCACGAATATTTGCCAACAAGAACGATTTAAAACACAACTATGAACGCCTCAGGTACGTAACTGATCGAATGGCAAAATACGTATTTTTCTGTAAACAAATAAGCACTATTTTGTTTCCGTGACAGCTGACAAGGCGCTGTTTCTTACACAGCCGATGACAAAGATTACCTCGAACAAATGGCGGATATCAAGTTTAATGGGTCGACACTTTCAAACTTTGCAGATTTGAAAATTTCTTCACGAGATATAGATATAATTAAAAGCTTTTGTTGTTTCTAACAGCGTGACATCGCCCTAGGGAAAAAAAAGACAAGTATATTTACAATTGTGTAGTCAATACAGCGTTTTGAAAGAGTTTAGATATTTTACTTTCAAATGCGAGATCATCCGGACAAGATCTCATTAAAGATCGTGATTGATTGATTGACGTGAGACACACTATGCCCCAACGCGTGCCAAAAATAGCGTTACTCACATGTATTTCGTTTTCGCCAACCCATTCACAGGAAGTTAGTTCACTGTTCTAAGGACGATTTCGAGTTTTGATACGAAACTATTCGAGAACAAAGCTGGTGTTTTACGGAGGATTTGAAGGTCTCGGAATTGACAGGTGATGCAATTAAGACTTGAAAATGGTTTTGCCGAAATTTTGTTTTCATAACCTCAGTTCTGGTGCGGCGGTGATGGTCATGGTTTCGCTTCTTGTTATGCCACCAACCACATTTACAGCTGCTGGAATCAACCCAGGGATGAGAATCTACAAGGAGGGAGACGTAACTATTGGTGGTCTTTTCCCTGTGCACGTGCGCGGAGATTTTAGATCGAAATTTATGTCATTAGCTGAAGCCATGGTCTTTGCCATCGAACAGATCAACAATGATTCGAAACTTTTGCCGAACATCACGCTGGGTTACGACATCACTGACACAAATCTAATAAACCGTCGAGCCATGAAAGCCACCTTGGATTATGTCAATGTTCATAAATTTGCTTTTATGAATCCTACACTGAATGAATCGTGTCTCATTTTACCGCCGAACCGTTTCTCTCCGGTGGTCGCTGTTGTTGGGACTGGTAACTCGCGGTCTTCAATCTTGGTGTCAAATTTATTGGAGGTTGAAGATATTCCGCTTATAAGCTATGCTGCAACGAGCGACGAACTCAGTAGCAGCGCTTATCCATCGTTTTTCCGCACTGTTCCCCCGGATCGGTTTCAGTCGAAAGTGATGGCGGACATTGCTCACGAGTTTAAATGGCGTTATGTTGCAGCTATAGCACAGGACGACGCGTACGGGCGATCTGGGATTGAATTTTTACAAAAACATACCAAACCCTTAGGGATCTGTATTGCGTACGAAAATTATTTTCCCGCCACTGAGGATAATCAGAGGGATGAGAAAATCAAAACCATCATTGAGGAACTCAAAGCGATGGAAGAAGTTGGTGTGATAATCTTGTACTGCACCAGCCGGCACGCTCTGGCTGTGCTGAGAGAAGCTATGCGTCAAGGCCTGGAGGGTCGAACCTGGGTTGCTAGCGAAGCCTGGGGAAATCACGACAGTGTTATCAAGGAAAAAGATCTTCAACCCATCCTGCAGGGAATNAAAAAAAAATCGAACACAATGACTGTGAACACAAAGCTGAGTTTGCGATCAAGTCATCGCAAAAATTTTTGCCAATGAGAGAGAAAGTCCTCTTTCGCAATACCAAAGTTCATCAGCACTCTAAATTCGTTTCACACTGAAACCGAAAATGTATGCATACACAGCATTAAAACAGATGCATGACAAAAAAAGTATTGTGCCCCAACATAGCTCTGATAAACCAATCCAATTGTTTTGGATATTTCTTTCCCACAAAAAAAAAAATTTGAAAACAATTACTGTAAACACAATGCTGATTTTGTCTGATCAAGTCATCGCAGATTTTTTTTGCCAATGAGAGAGAAAGTCAGCTTTCGCGACAGCAAAGTTTGTTAGCACTCTGAATTCTTTCACAGAAACCGAAAGATGTAGGCATACACACAGTATTAAAACAGAAGTATGGCAAAAAGAATATTGTGGACCAATATAGCTCTGATAGACCAATCTGAAGTCATCTTTCGCTTTGAATAAAAGGAACAGGTGCCTTCTAAACTTGCATGAGATTTTGCTGATATTGACATCAGCATTTTTTTGTAAGTTAAACTGTACTTCTAGGTAGGGATTAATCAGACAGCGTTTTTGAGAAACCGAGCCCTGGTGGACAGCTGATTTCCTATCGGATGTTATTTTGAAGGGAAAGGTGAAGAATTTAGTGAAATAGATCAGAATGGCATAGAACGGTCTCTTTTATGTCAAGTTATGATATGTGTGTCGCAATATAACATTGTTGAGATTTCTTTCATAGTTTTCAATATAAATCAGCATGCTTCAATATAAAACAGTGTGGCAAGTGAGGTATAAAATGAAAACTACTCTGTGTTCTAAATCAGTTAAAATTTCTGATTATCATCAGTGATATATACTAGGGTAAGTCGGATGGAAATCAGTAAGGTTGGCAAAACCATCTGTTCTCTTTAGTGTAAATGCGTTAGCTCCTCCGGCAGCATAATTTTGTTAACCATCCCCAAATAAAGGTGCTGCCGTACTACAAAATCTTATCATTTGAGTTTGGCAGAGATTGGCGGGAAAAACGCCGTTGTCAACCCGGTCCCTAGTCCCCCACGGCCAAAGTAGTACCTCGCCTTAGAGTATCTTAAAATCGATCCCTAATGTTTTCATTTGCATGCATGAGAGCGGCCATCTAGTAAAGGTGCTCGCTCGTAGAGGTTTGACTGTTTTTCTAATAATACACTTTCCCACAAAAAAAAATTAAAAACAATAACTCTAAACACAATGCTGGATTTTGATTAAGTCATGCAAACTTTTTGCCGATGACACAGAAGTCAGCTTTCGCAATACCAAAGTTTATCAACACTCTGAATTCGTCTCAAAAACCGAAAAAAATTTGTGTGAATAAACAGTGCTAAAACAGAGGTATGATAAAAAAAAAATTTGTGGACCAACATAGCTCTGATAAACCAATCTGAAGTCATCTTTCGCTTTGAATAAAGGGAGCATGTGCTTTCTAAACTTGCATGAGATTTTGCTGATATTGGCATCAGCATGTTTTCGTAAGTTAAACTGCATGAATCGTTGGTCCTGTTTGTGAAAGAGTAAATTCATTGCGAAATCTGCTATAAAACTCACTTCGCTCACCACTAGGTAGGGATTAATCAGGCGAAGGCGTTTTTTGAGAATCCGGGCCCTGGTTTTGCAATGTTGATTTCCTATCGAAAATTTTGTAGGGCACTGTGACAAATTTTGGTGAAAATAGATCAGAATGGCATTTGAACAGTCTCTTTTATGTCGAGTCATGATATGTGTGTCGCAATATAACATTGTTGAGATTTCTTTCATAGTTTGCAATATAAAATCAACTTGCTGGCAATTGAGGTATGAAATGGAAACTACTCTGTGTTTTAAATCAGTTAAAATTTCTGATTATCATCAGTGCCTGATGCTAGAGGAACTAGGAAGTCGAATTGAAATAAGGTTGATAAAACCATCTGTTCTCTTCAGTGTTAATGCATTGGCTCCTCGAGCTCCGGCAGCATAATTATGTAAACTATACCCAAAACGAATATTTAATCGAGATAATTTTCCGACAATCAAGGTTAAAGAGCGAAATTCTACAAGTGGAATGCTTCTTGAAAAATAAATCTAAAAAACTAAATCCTTTTGAGCCGGTATTTTTTCGTTATTGCCTTCAAGCTCGTTTTCGGGAAGTGCACTTTCACCCAAACCTTGTTTGCCCACGCAACAGAACCCTTTCAAAACAGTGACCGGCAAGGTTTATAATTGTACAGCACTTCCAGTTATAAAGGCAAAACCACATAAATGTTTGTTATAACCACACCAGCGTCTGGTGAGATATATGTAATAGTAGTAATTGTTGAGTCGACTGGCGCGTGAGTCAGCTAAAACGAAATTGGTCCTCAACAACGTAACACCTGTATGACTGTATGTAAATTCAATTGTCACATGCAGAGAGAATTACCTGAAAACAATTCATTCGTGTTAAACCTCTCAACAGGAAAGCAAGGGGAAAAGGCCAAACAAGCGGAATAGTTTTACAAATTAACAGAGCAGGGTCATAACCAGAAGCAAATTATGACTGAGGCAATGTTCTTTTTTGTTTCTCTGTTTTTATTTGCCAGCGGTGTTTTCATTTCCCCCTTCAAAAAGACATCATCAACAACGACAACAACAAAACCGAAAAAAAAAATGACTGAGGCAAGTGCTTCGCTTTGCCTGTTACTCAATGATCTACTAGTTACGGCCCTGCAGAGGCTTAAAAATCTGAACTGAATCCATCAAAGGAAACTGAACGAGAAGGCACGTATTGCGTGGGAAAGAAAAGCTTGACGTCGACTACTGCATATTTAATGTGTTTGTATTTGAATAAGATCCTTTTAGCAACCTACCTTCTGCGGCCAAACACTTTTATATCTGACTGCTTCTTTGTTGTCTTGGGGCCATAGCGGTCAAGAATCGCACCTAGAAATTGTTAAAATTAAATATTTGGCAAACTGTCGTGGTTTGATAGGTTCGTTTACTGATACAGCTATTAAGTTCATTGGCTGCAAATTCTCGAAGAGTTTCTTTCCGAAAAAAGGTTTCGTAACCGAAGTACTTAAATCTTGTAAGCGTTTGAGAAATTTAGGTGATCGTTGAATATTAGACCGCTTGATATCAGGTTCGACAGAAGGTCAAGAATGGTTGGCACCGAATAGCCAGCGAAAAAGGACCATTTTTGTTTCTCAAGAAATGTTTCCCAAATTAACGTACATATTGTCTTCCTGCAGTCCAGTTGTAAATCAGTTCGAACGCGTGGAACTTTCAACTGAAACAGTTTAAAAATGTGAATTTATTTTCCTAAATGATTTATTTGTTTCGATGGTTCTGACAGTTTTATTAAAATTTTTACTCTCATCACAATAACTGGACACGAAAATTAGGAGAAATACAAATTTTGAGGTCAAATTTGTAAGATATCCGCTGTTCTACTTAGGCAAGTTATTTACTTAACTAAAATAAATGGAATCTTCACTATGCGCTGAAACTCGTGACCTGTTAATTAAGGTTTATATGCTTCCTTTTTTTAAAACAAAGAGCGACCGAATTTCAAGCCAGACATAACAAGCTTATATGAGACTTTGAAGTTGACTGTCAGCTTTTCTTGCACGAATATTTGCCAACAAGAACGATTTAAAACACAACTATGAACGCCTCAGGTACGTAACTGATCGAATGGCAAAATACGTATTTTTCTGTAAACAAATAAGCACTATTTTGTTTCCGTGACAGCTGACAAGGCGCTGTTTCTTACACAGCCGATGACAAAGATTACCTCGAACAAATGGCGGATATCAAGTTTAATGGGTCGACACTTTCAAACTTTGCAGATTTGAAAATTTCTTCACGAGATATAGATATAATTAAAAGCTTTTGTTGTTTCTAACAGCGTGACATCGCCCTAGGGAAAAAAAAGACATAAGTATATTTACAATTGTGTAGTCAATACAGCGTTTTGAAAGAGTTTAGATATTTTACTTTCAAATGCGCGATCATCCGGACAAGATCTCATTAAAGATCGTGATTGATTGATTGACGTGAGACACACTATGCCCCAACGCGTGCCAAAAATAGCGTTACTCACATGTATTTCGTTTTCGCCAACCCATTCACAGGAAGTTAGTTCACTGTTCTAAGGACGATTTCGAGTTTTGATACGAAACTATTCGAGAACAAAGCTGGTGTTTTACGGAGGATTTGAAGGTCTCGGAATTGACAGGTGATGCAATTAAGACTTGAAAATGGTTTTGCCGAAATTTTGTTTTCATAACCTCAGTTCTGGTGCGGCGGTGATGGTCATGGTTTCGCTTCTTGTTATGCCACCAACCACATTTACAGCTGCTGGAATCAACCCAGGGATGAGAATCTACAAGGAGGGAGACGTAACTATTGGTGGTCTTTTCCCTGTGCACGTGCGCGGAGATTTTAGATCGAAATTTATGTCATTAGCTGAAGCCATGGTCTTTGCCATCGAACAGATCAACAATGATTCGAAACTTTTGCCGAACATCACGCTGGGTTACGACATCACTGACACAAATCTAATAAACCGTCGAGCCATGAAAGCCACCTTGGATTATGTCAATGTTCATAAATTTGCTTTTATGAATCCTACACTGAATGAATCGTGTCTCATTTTACCGCCGAACCGTTTCTCTCCGGTGGTCGCTGTTGTTGGGACTGGTAACTCGCGGTCTTCAATCTTGGTGTCAAATTTATTGGAGGTTGAAGATATTCCGCTTATAAGCTATGCTGCAACGAGCGACGAACTCAGTAGCAGCGCTTATCCATCGTTTTTCCGCACTGTTCCCCCGGATCGGTTTCAGTCGAAAGTGATGGCGGACATTGCTCACGAGTTTAAATGGCGTTATGTTGCAGCTATAGCACAGGACGACGCGTACGGGCGATCTGGGATTGAATTTTTACAAAAACATACCAAACCCTTAGGGATCTGTATTGCGTACGAAAATTATTTTCCCGCCACTGAGGATAATCAGAGGGATGAGAAAATCAAAACCATCATTGAGGAACTCAAAGCGATGGAAGAAGTTGGTGTGATAATCTTGTACTGCACCAGCCGGCACGCTCTGGCTGTGCTGAGAGAAGCTATGCGTCAAGGCCTGGAGGGTCGAACCTGGGTTGCTAGCGAAGCCTGGGGAAATCACGACAGTGTTATCAAGGAAAAAGATCTTCAACCCATCCTGCAGGGAATGGTTGGTGTTGTGTTCACGGATGTAACTGTTCCTTCATATAAGCGGTATCTATTGTCTCGCACTTCCGCGTACAGACCAGAACCGTGGTGGAGACATTTCTGGGAACGAGAATTTGATTGCACTTTCAACATCACACCATCAGACGGAATGAAGCGGTGCTCTTACCACCTCAAGGTCAACGAGAGTGTCTTTGAAAACAGTCTGTCTGACAGCAAAGCCACATATGTCATAAATGCTGTGTATGCTATTGCGCATGCGTTAGACGCCATATTCAAGTGTAAATCGCCTCCAGTGAGCCAATGTCCGCAGTTGGAACCATACATTGAACCACGCGATGTCCTTGATTACTTGAAAAAAGTGAATTTCACAAGTGAAGTGTCCAAGGTCTTCTTTGACGATAACGGTGATTCTTTGGCTTCTTACAGCATCATCAACTACCGCGCTGGTAACGGAGCAGGCGGTCGAGTGGAGACTGTGGGAACCTGGGAAGTGGGAAAGCTCAACCTTAACACTAGCCTCATTATTTGGAACAACGGGTTGACGGGAACCATCCCAAGATCGGTTTGTAGCGAGAGATGCGAACCTGGATTTCGACAAACGCAGGAACTCAACTGTTGTTGGCAATGTATCAGATGTTCACAGGACACTATAACAAGTGTGTCTGGAGCGATGAACTGCACACCCTGTGCTGCGGACCACATCTCGAATGAAGCGCGAACACAATGCATCCCAGTCCCCTTGGAGCGCATCAGCTGGGGGGACCCCCCCGGAGTGTTAATCGCCTTTATTGCTTGTTTGGGAGTCCTAGCGTCGGTTCTCGTTGGTGCAGTGTTTGTGTGGCGCAATGAAACTCCGATCGTGAAAGCTTCGAATCGTCAACTCAGCTACACATTCTTATTTTGTATCGGAATGAACTATCTATGGGCCTTGGTGAACCTCGCTGAACCAAGCGACTGTATTTGTCCTCTATCACAGGCCTGGTTTTATCTCTTTTACACAGTTGCTATAGTGGTGCTTGGCGTCAAGACAAAAAGAATTGTCCATTTGTTTGAACACCGAGTCCCGCGCTCTGAACTCACCAAAACATTCATCGAGAAACACAAGCACATTTTAGTAATTGTCGGCGTTGCAGGCCTGGACTTGTTAATCTTAATTATTTGGTTCGCAGTGGACATACCTCGGCCACACATTGACAAATCCTTGCGGACAACCTATTTTCTGGAGTGTTTGGAGAATTCTGTCGTGATGGGACGTTTTTGCCAATATCTCCTCATCGCCATCCTCGTCATCGTGTCAATTGTCTGTTGCTATTTCGCGTTTAAGTCCAGAAAATTGCCGCATAATTTCAATGAAGGGAAATTCATCGCGTTTGCTCTTTACGTCATTGTTATCTCCTGGGTGACGTTTTACCCAGTTTATTTGAACATCCGCGGTAAATACTCGGTGGTTATCTCGGGTGCAGCCTCAATAATCGCTGCCACTGGACTGCTGGTGTGCATCTTTGTACCAAAGATTTACATTATTCTTCTTCACCCCGAGAAAAATACTGTGGCTTACATGAAGAGCCAAATTTCCAGCCACACCTTCCGGCGGAGCACAATGGAGCCAGCGGAGTCACAGCATAGGTCGTACAACATCCCGGAGAGTAACGCAGTAAGGACACCCACGGAGATCCCGGTCCAAGGGGTGACTCCGACCCAACCCAAGCCGGACTCCCAGAGTATAAAAGATATTGAAGGGAAGAATGAAAACGCCATAACTATGTTGTAATTGTTAGGCTCTGCAGAAAAGAAAGACAAAAACGAGACGTCTCAGACAAAACTGGAAGAGCTATTCGTGCACCAGCCATAACGAGTAAGACTAGTCGTGAAAAGAACGTGATTGATTCCCACAGAATGACGCATGGAAATTGCAATAGCTTCCAGCAGCCATTTCCAGTGGGCTAATTTTGTGTTTTCATTACTTAAATACAATCTACTAATTCTCTACCGCTTCAGTGTTCAGTAACTGGAAATGATCGTACTTTGCTAATTAATTAAGTATAGGTCAAAGAATGACTTAGCAGACACCAGTGATGTTGGAAACCTTCTGTAAATATACAAGTTGAATTCCTAAATAAGTGGCAAACTATAAGGGGTTTTTTCGCAACACCATTTCTCGAGCAAAATTGATTGAAGACGCAAAAAGCGAGTGCGTGCCACAAACTAGCTCGTTTATGCCTCCTGGCAAGTATGAGAAAATAATGAATGTGATTTTCATCAAAATTGTTTTATTTTTAATTACGAAAAAATCATTATGAAGACCTGATGTTTGTTTCACGTAGTGGAATAACAACAAGTTTATTTAAATTTTACATTGTTAAATTAACTGGAAATTTTTTTATATGACAGAGATAGGATTTATACAATAAAAACAAATTTAAATTAAATGCAAGTTTGTGATGTTTTCCTTTTTGTCCAACAGAAATAAATCTTTATGTCAACTTATGGGTTTCTCTCCCTCGCGGCTACACGCGTGTATCGCGGCGTCGTTACTCACTCGCCCAAAACCCCCAAAAGAGAGTTTCCTCGCAGGTTATTAGTGGCAGTAGAATTCATAAAATCATTACGGGAATCGAGTGAAAAAAAAACTCTCCTTCGATGATCTTGAATGTCTTGCTTGAAAGTTATTTCGGTCTTGTGGCGCACTTCAGTATTTCAGAGTATAAAACACGGTCGACCACTCGAGTCAGATACATAACGAGATTTTTTTTTCTAGCATAACCGGAAATATGCACACCGGTGACCAGAGTGTAATTATATTTCTCTTTCATCAGTTGATGGACTTCCTGAGAGAGAAATTTACAGTGTTTTTTTCCCTACTAATCAAGTTTAACAATTGTGGGTGAATTGATTTTCTTTGCTGTTCTTAATTCTCCTAGCAAACGCGCAAGCTTCCCAACACATGCCTCCCCCTCTCCCCTCAACTCAAATCGCTTTCCGTAGATACGCGAACTTTTCAGAACAGAGGAAGCCTTCTAGGCTTAATTACCAGCCGCTGTTAGGGAAAGGAACCCGCGCTCCTCTCCCGTAGACCAGAGTAAGTAAGTAAGTAAGTAAATAACCTTTATTTAAACACGATAAGTAATTAAGCTTGCAGCTTGTGGGGCCGTGTGTAAATAAACAATAAAGAATCACTACAAAATAAGAATTAAGAAATTCACAACGTAAGATCTAACCTAGTTTAAATAAAAATTTGCAGCTAATAATAATTTACTTAATTATTGACATTATGTGACTAATAAACTAATAAACGTGTCTGGTAATAAACCAGACACGAGAGAGCGGCGGAAATCGAGCCTAGAAGCTTTTTGACACCAGATTCCTTTACAGACAAAAGTGTTTCAGAATGTTCCGCCAAAAGTTGAACATGGCGGAGCAAAATCAATGAGGTTCTGATGACTATGATCATGATTAGGCACCGTGCCCAGTTTCCGCCGTCCACGAATTTACCCCAAGCCCGACACAGCATACTTCGGTCATGCAAGTGAGCTTTTACAAAAATGCAGACAACCTCTCCCCCCGGACAATATGCTACGAATCAGTTTGTGGAGATCATTTGCACGCGGTAGAATAACGTGTTGGAATGTACCTACAAAGCGGAAATGTTTACGACTGAGATGCCAAGCGCGTATCATTTCCGAGGGTCCACAATGGGGTTCTCAGATCCCACTTTCCCGCCCATTTTTTCCTGTTAATCCCACCATCCC